TGCCCATTGGTTGACCATTAAGTAGAATTGAATAGGTGACTGTAGAGATGCATGCACTTCATAATCCAGGTACAACATCTCTCTGAAAAGCCCATACTCTTCATCACTGTATTGAAAAAGTTTCACTCAGTCTTATGTCTGAGCGGAAGCTTCTATGAATAAAATTAGATCTGTTGATTCTAAGAATACCCAAAAACTTGGGTTTGTGAATACTTTTCACAGTGGCTTATCAAAAGTTCAAAACCTCTTTAGGAAAACCTCTTTAGGAAAACTCCTTTATTAATCAAATCATAAACTGAATACAATAAAAGGTTTAAACGACTTATATATAATAAATCCCGAAATCCTAAAATATTCTAGAAAAACCCTAAAAGATAATTATTAAAATATTAAAATATAAATAAATGGTAATTATCTAAATATACAAATAAATAATAAAGATATTTAGAAATATTCCAAATATTTCAATGTATATCAGGTCTCGCCGGCCAAGAAAGATTCATCCTCAAATCTTCAACCGGTCTTTCCACATCGGTATTGTGTTTTCTTGTTGATAATATTTTTTTTTGTGCAAACCAAATTTTGTACGGATTTAGCACAAACCAAATTTCGTACGGATTTTGCACAAACCAGATCTGTACCAATTTGTAAATTTTCGCAGGTCTGCAATCGCCCGGATATTGCACGATCCGACTTTTGCACGACTTCTGCACAAATCTCGAACTCTCCACAGATCTGTCCTTGCTCGGATTTCACATGAAGGTGATGTCGCCCGATGTTTTCACGAACGGATTCTGCACCTGTCAGATTCTTGAAATCACCTTCTCGGCGAAGATGGGATCACCATAGATTTCTCTATAGATCTCATGGTTTCTTCTCTTTCAACAAAAGGAATTTCGTCCTGGATAGGATAGATGCTTGAACTCACCATGACAACCATAATCGGTCTCTGGTTAAAAAATCAAAGAACACATGGCTCTAATACCAAATGATGGAGCGGAAGCTTCTATGGATAGAACTAGATCCGTTGATTCTGGGAATAACTGGAAACTAGGGTCTGTGAATACTCTTCACAATGGTTTATCAAAATCTCTTTAGGAAAACTCCTTTAATTAATCAAATCATAAACTGAATACAATAGAAGGTTTAAACGACCTGTATATAATAAATCCTGAAATCTAAAATATTCTAAAAAACCTTAAAAGATAATTATTAAAATATTAAAATAAAAATTAATGGTAATTATCTAAATATACAAATAAATAATAAAGATATTTAGAAATATTCCAAATATTCTAAATATCTCGCTGCATCATCTTATCAAATGCTTTGCTAATATCAAGTTTAGCTGCTATAAAAGGTTGAATTAAATTCTTAGTATGAAGAAGCTCATGAGCAATTAATACATTATCTGTTATCAGCCTTCCAGGTATGAAAGCTAATTGATTATCCAAGATAATGTATTGAAGCCATGGTTTTAATCTATCAGCTAAAGCTTTAGATAAACTTTTGTATGCTACATTACTTAAGCTGATAGGTCGGTAATCCTTAACTTCAATAGGTTGGCCAATTTTAGGTATATGACAGATGTGAGTATGATTAAAGCTTGAATCAAGAGTGCACTTGTTATAAAGGCTTGTGCAAACTTTAACACACCTGTCTTAATGGTATTCCAATGATCTTTGTTGATTGCTATATTCAACTATTCGAGGTCGGTCCGGTAATTTGAGTTCGAAAGATCTTAAGTTGATCAGATTTTATTAAGTTCTTAGTTACAGTTCGTTCAGTTCGGAGGATTCTCAGCGAACTCAATACAATGTTCAGGTCTCTATTCTCCGGGTCCGAAAAAGATCCCTTCTACAGTAACAATTCTACTATTTATAGTACACAAGCGAGGAGACGTTCTAGGGCTTCTCGTTCAGCTCTCACCGCCTCTCGTCGCTGGGCCTCTCTCTAATGGGCCGCGCTGTCAGGTCAGGCCCACTTCGGCTAAGACCATCGTAAACCGGGGTCAATTGGGCCGGTCTCGGTCTCTAACCGGTCCGGACCGGGGAGCGGAGCGTACCACCAACAGTATGTCCCCCCCCCCCAGTTCAGTAAATGGACCTGACTGACTTTTGCCGAATTAGAGTTAGATCGGTTTCAGGCTGAGGTCGGTGACGTTGAGTCCTCAGCTTACACCCTTCGCCGTCCCTGGTGCCTTGGCAAGGGTACTTAAGTATTTTCGCTTGCGGGGAACTGAAAAGACGCGTCAGTTTAGGCGGGAAATGGCGACGTTACAAGGCGCAGAACTCGAAAAGTCGCAATGATTCGCTCTTTTTCTATAAATAGGGTTCAGCTCTCCCTATTTCCTACTTTCGCTCCTACTGCCAAGGTATTTGCTCTCCCTTCTCTCTAAATTTTCTTCTTTCTCTCTCTAGAGTTTCCGGTCGCCGTCCGCCGTGCTCTCTCGTCGACGATCATTCTCTCGAGCTCTCCGACGATGTCTTCCGGCTCTTCTTCCAACTCCGAGGCCGCGATCCTTCCCGAACACCGCAGGGAGGAAACTTCTACCGAGATCTCGAGCTCGGGATCTACGGAGCATTCCTCAAATGCTTTTTTGGTTCAGAAAAACTCCCGGGTCGTCGAGGTCGGCTCTGGTAGCCGAGTTCTGATTCGGGCTCCGGAACGGATGGATCCAAATCTCCGCGAGCCTGAGGGCCAAGTTCCTGCTGATTTGGTCCTGGAACGGGAGCCTGACGTGAAGACAGACGAGGACGCTCCGTTGCGCGAGGTCGGGGATGGAGGGGCGCAGGATCCCAATGACGATGATATGATGCGGATCGCGGATCGGCCGTGTATATGTGCCCCGGTAAAATCCACATTGTCATCTCCAGAGACAGTTCGGGCTGCTATGCTGATCGGCGGAGCCCCTCCCAGAATCATTATCCAGGTTCCTCCAGCGGATCCGGCTGCTGAGACCGAGAACCCGAGGTCGTCCAAAAGGCGCCGGACTTCCGACTCGTCCTCTTTCTCGGTCCGACTTAAGTACAACAAGGACCGGTCTTTCTTCGACGACTCGTCTGCCTGCGCCGAGCTCTTCAGGCAGATCGTGCCGGCCTCGTCTCCGATGCCTGAGACGAAAGACCTCTTTTGTCCCAAGTCTTACGCTCGGGTCGCGAAATCTGCCTCTGCTGTAAGTTTTCCTCCGCCTTGAATACTTTAGCTTTTTTATTTTTGAAGTGTTTTGACTTGGGTTCTACTTTCAGCTCATCTGCGATACCAATGAGCTCGTTCGTGAGTACGACTCCGAGGTCGAGAGGCTGAGGAGGATCAATGCTGAGGTCGCTGCTGAGAGGGCGTCTCTGGAAACGTCGTACCGGGACGAAAAGGAGAGGTACGAGGCTGCTGTACTGGCCTTTATTGAAAAGGAGAAGGAGAACGCGGCTCTGAAAGAGCAAGTCGAGGCTATGATGAAGCGAACTGTCGAGTTGGAGGGGGACGTGGACGCTCTGTCCAAGTCGTTCAAGACAAGCGAGCTCGAGAAGCGGAGGTATCGGGACGCTGAGTCGAAGGGAAGGAAGATGCTGGCCGCCCTTAGAGGCAAGTGCGAGGGGAAGATTTCCAAGATGAAGTACTTCATGGACAAGTCCGAACTCCGGAAGGCGCCATTCCTCAAACTCAACCAGGCGACCGCTCTGGTCGGCTTCTGCGACTTCCTCAAGCGGGAGCACAACATGATCGTCCCGTCTCACATCGTGGAGACGTATGAGCGCAGGATCAGGAACTGCACAAAGGAGGTCGATGGCATCCCCCTTCCGCGGTTCCAGAACGAACATTTCCTCCTCCCAAGCGACGACGACCTCATCCCGAGGATTGTGCTTCCACCGGGGACACAGGTTCCAGAGGGCTTGGATCAGTTCGGCTCGAACTCCAAGTCGATCTCGGCTGATCGGGCGGCAAGTCTCAAGAGTCCGGCGTCCGTTGCTCGTCAATGAATCATCCTCTCAGTTTTTTTTTTTATTATTTTGATGTTGTAAAGACTTTTCTGCCCTCGTAGCTCGGGTTTTTTACTTAGTGTTTTATTTTGACCGCCGTTTTTAGGCGTTGTATTTGTTGCCGTCTAGTTCGGCAAACTCGGATATCTTTATGAAATGAACATGGTTTCCCTTTATCTCGACTTTTACTTAGAATTTTCTTCTGATATTTCACTGCGGACTGTTGGGAGTTCGGCTTGTTTTGATTAATTTTGGAGTTCGTGATGTTATTGCGACGATGCAGACGAACTCGGGGAACTCTTCGAGCTTGAATCGCGGTCGGCGGATTGCTGTTCGAAAGAGTTAGTGCGGGTTGGGCTCCGGCTTTGAATAGTAGGCACCGTGGGGGTGCGGGCGAGACGGATCTCGGCTTTTGAGATTGTATTCATGGGGAATACTTAGTTCGATCTCCTGGCCGGGGAGTCGATTTATGGAGTTAGTTATAGAAATGAAAAAGGAGGATTTTTATTGGATTTGTAGCTGGACTCGAAATCGAGCTGCCTACGTACCCTTTTGCATGGGATCAAGCCACTCGTAGTTCAGTTTACAGAGGTGAGTTCGGCTGGAGCCGGACTGATTTTTTTTTTTTTTTTTTTTTTTTTTTGGGTCCGCGCGCTTGTTGGCTGGGACTTAGTAATAGTATCGCTTGAGATTGGCTGAGTTCCAGGATCGCGGGATCGGCGTTCCGTCGAGCTGCATGAGTTCGTAAACCCCAGGCTTGACGATTCTCATTATCTGATATGGACCTTCCCAGTTCGTTCCCAGTTTTCCTGCATTCAGCTCCTCAGTGTTCTGGAACACTTTGCGTAAGACGAGGTCGCCTTCATCGAAGTGCCGACCTCGGACTTTTTTGTTGTAGTACCGAGCAGCGAGGTTTTGATAGTTCTGAATTCGGAGGAGAGCTAAACAGCGTTGCTCTTCCAAGTTATCGAGGTTGTTGAGCATCATCTGGTCGTTGAGGTCGGGATCCTCGGGGAGCACTGATTACCTTAGGGTTGGAATACTCACTTCTGCCGGGCAGAGGGCTTCGAGTCCGTACGCTAGGTAAAAAGGTGACTGTCCGGTCGATCGTCTTGGAGTAGTTCGGTGCGACCATAAGACTCCGTCGAGCTCGTCTGCCCAGGTACCTTTCTTAGCATCGAGACGTTTCTTAATGCCGTCCAGGATTGTCTTATTGGTTGCCTCGGCTTGGCCATTGCCTTGCGCATATCGCGGGGTAGAGAAACTAAGGCGAATTTTGAATTTTGCGCACCACTCATTGAACGTCCCTGCAATAAATTGTGGTCCGTTGTCCGTGACGATCTCGTGCGGGACCCCGTGTCGGCAAATGATATACTTCCAGACAAATTTTTGTACGTCTAGTGCGGTAATCTCCGAGTATGCTTCGGCCTCGACCCATTTGGTGAAGTAGTCAGTCATAATCAAGACATACTGCTTTTGATTTGTTGATCGGCATAAAGGGCCAACGATGTCCATAGCCCACCGCATAAACGGGTAAGGGGCCGTACTGGTTTGCAGCAGCTCGGTCGGCACGTTAATCATTGGGCCATGGCGCTGGCACTTATCGCACTTCCTGACAAACTTCTTGCAGTCCGCGTTCATCGTCGGCCAGAAATAGCTGGCTTTTTTTATTTTCTGAGCGAGAGATCGACCTCCGGAATGGTTACCGCCGGACCCTTTATGGATTTCGCGCATGATTTCGACTGTTTCATTCCCAGAAACGCAGGCCAGGAGTACTCCGGATGCACTCCAACGGAACAGCTTATCTTTATGCATTGTGTAATGGGCAGCCCGGACTTTCAGACGGCGAGCAGCCCATTTGTCTTCGGGGACTTTGCCGTTGAGGAGGTACTCTCGTAGTTCGGCTGTCCAATCTTCGGCGGACTCGCTTTCCTGGCTTTCGCTGGTTGACGGACTGTGGAGTCCTTCGGTTATGTGCTCGAAGTCGTGATCGGCGGCTAGGTCTTCTGGATTGTGCTCGGCGTTCTTGTTCGTCCGGGTCGACTTCCTGTTTTGCGTTGCCGAGGTCGGATTTTCGTCGTAGTTTAGTCGGCGAGTAGCAACATTACATTTCAGCGCGGTTTGGATACTTGGTTCTGAGATACTTTCGACCGGGATCATTCTCTTCATATGCGGGTCAGAACTGGATGCCAGGGTGGCTAACGCGTCGGCGGACGAGTTCTCGCCGCGAGGGATTTTCGTGAGTTCGAACGTCTCAAACTTAGCGATGAGTACCTTAGTCGCTGTTAGGTATGCGTCCATTCGTTCGTTCTTGGTCGTGTATTCTCCACTTAACTGGCTTGCGACGAGCTGCGAATCGCAGAAAGCGTGAAGATATCGTACGCCGAGCTCGACAGCCAATCGCAGCCCGGCAAGTAGGGCTTCGTACACAGACTCGTTGTTAGATGCTGGGAACTCGAGGCGGAACGACTGTTCGAGGATCTCGCCGTTAGGGGACTTGAGGCGAATTCTGACTCCTGATCCCCGGTGAGATGACGATCCGTCGACGTGCAGAATCCATAGTTCGCGAGGCAGCTGTTCGACGACGAACTCTTTGGGAAGTTCGATAAGAAAATCGATGAGTACCTGGGATTTTGCGCTGGTTTGATTCTTGTACTCTATGTCGTATTCACTTAGGACGGCCCACTTCACGAAACGACCTGATGGGCTTGGACTATGTAGAATGGTTCGGAGTGGCTGGTCGGTCAAGACCGTAATTGAATGAGACTGGAAATATGGCCGAAGTTTCCGAGCAGAAACTACCACTGCAAGCGCCAATTTTTCTAAGGTCGGATACCTGGCCTCGGCGTCACTTAGCGATTTTCTGACATAGAATATTGGACGCTGTTCTCCCCTATCCTCGCGAACTAGAACACTGCTAACTGCCGATGTCGAGATAGCGATGTATAAGAAGAGCGTCTCGCCGTGCTCGGGCTTAGCTAGAATGGGGGGGGGGGGTTGAGAGATACGTTTTCAGCTGCTTGAAGGCGTCTTCGCACTCAGCGCTCCAGGTATGATGCTTGTTACCTCGTAACAACTGGTAGAAAAGCAGGCATTTATCCGTCGACCTGGAGATAAATCTGTTCAGGGCGGCGATTCGGCCTGTGAGTTTTTGCACTTCCCTTTTTGAAGTCGGAGAAGGTAGGTCTAGAACTGCGGATATCTGCTTCGGGTTAGCCTCGATGCCGCGCTCGGTGACGATGTAACCCAAGAATTCGCCTGCTGTCACGCCGAAGGTGCACTTGGCGGGGTTGAGTTTCATCCCGTACTCGTTCAGAATGTCGAAACACGTCGATAGGTGTGATATATGGTCCTTAGCGTGCAGGGATTTAACCAGCATGTCGTCGATGTATACTTCCATCGTTTTTCCGAGCTGACTGGCGAACATGCGGTTCACGAGTCTTTGATAGGTGACTCCCGCGTTCTTGAGGCCGAACGGCATGACCTTATAACAGTAGATCCCTCGATCTGTAATGAACGAAGTCTTTTCCCGATCATCCGGATGCATTAGGATTTGGTTATACCCCGAAAAGGCATCCATGAAAGACAACAGTTCGTTGCCTGCAGTTGCCTCTACCAACCGATCAATGTGTGACAGTGGGAAGCTATCTTTGGGACAAGCTTTGTTCAGGTCGGTAAAATCGACGCAGATCCTCCACTTTCCATTCTTTTTCTTCACGACTACCGGGTTTGCTAGCCAGTCCGGGTATCGAACCTCTGTGATCGAACCGGCCTTGAGTAACTTTTCGACCTCATCATTTACTGCTCGTGCCTTCTCGGGTCCGAGCTTGTGTCTCTTCTGTTTGATAGGTTTATATGTGGGATCGATGTTTAGCTCGTGGCAAGTGATGTCGGGATTGATTCTGGGCATGTCGCTGATATTCCATGCGAACGTGGAAACGTTTTTCTGGAGGAAACTGATGAGTGCTTCTCGGATACTGTTGTCGAGCTCGGCCCCTACGCCGACACATTTCGTTGGATCTGGTGGGTCAATGCCGACTTGGTCGACCTGGCTCTGCTTGGGTGGACCGAACTGGCTTTCTGCGGCCGTACGACCGTCCTGAAAGGGGCTTATGACGCATGTCCGTGCCATGCTTAGTTTGCACTCAGTGAGATGGCATAATCGGGACGCGGTCTGGCTTCCTTTGAGTGTGAAAATCCCTGACGGGGTTGGGAACTTGACGCTTTGATGGAACGTTGAAGCGACGGCCTTCATGTCGAACAGCCAGGGCGTTCCCAAAATCGCATTGTATATCGCCGGTTTGTTGAGGACCAAGAATTTGATCATTCGAGCCGACCCGCCGACGTAGATGGGTATCTTCACTGTTCCTACTGTTCTTGTTTTCTCTCCGGTGAACCCGGTCAATGATTCCATGTAGGGCTTGATCTCGGAGTCCGGAAAATCCATATTCTTTAATGTTTCTTTGAATATGACGTTTACCGAGCTCCCTGTGTCGATTAAGATTCTGCTTACTTCGACATCTCCGAGCTGGAGTTCGACGACGAGGCAATCATTGTGAGGCATGTGCACTCCCCGCAGGTCGGCTTCGGTGAATAACAGTGGTACGGTTGTGACCGTTGTCTGGCGTTGTGAACTCGACGCTTGCCGACTGTATTCTTTGAGGGCTCGGACAGAGTAGTTGCATGATTCGAGGGCTCCCATAATCATATTGACCTTCTTCCTGGTTTTGGGCACGTTCGCCTCTCTATTAGGTGCTTCGCGGTCTCGTTTAGGGGGAGCGACCTGTTCGTCATCGGAGTCGGTTGCCTTGGCAGCTTCTTGATTGCCAGGTTTGTTAGGTCGCGGGTTCGGCCGCCGAGGTCCCGGTTTAGGCAAATCCGCGGTGTCGATCTCGCCCTTGCGGAACTGTTGAAGTAAGAAATCCCTCAAATGTCGGCATTCCTCCGTGCTATGCCCATATCGCTCGTGATACTCGCAAAAACGCTCACTCAGTGGCGTATCATCGTCCTTGTGCCATGTGTTCCAAGATTTTGGAGGTCGTCCTGTCCTCTGGTTCGACGGTCCTGCTTGGTTTACTACTCCGCGCGGTTTCCCGGGCTGGGCCTTCGTTTCCGAGCTCTCTTTGGGGGTTGGCGTTTTGCCTGACTTTAGGGTTGAATACTGCCGATCCTTGGCGGCTTCTTCTTCTTCTTCCGCGATGAAGATGTTTGACTTATGGAGCGCGTTCTCGAGGGTGAGCGGTCTGTTCCTGCGAAGCTCTTTGTGAAAGGGGGATTTATACCACGTTTTCTGATACAAAGCCTCGAGAGCGGCTTCATCGTCCACTGTGCAGTGTGCTACGATCTGCTTGAAACGTGCCATGAAGTCTCGGAGCGACTCATTCTCGCCCTGTGATATCTCCCACAGCTCGGAGTTACGAGTTTTCTGTCCGATGAACATCGAGAAATGCTTTGCGAACTTCGTCGAGAGTTCATTGTAGTTGTCGATGGAGTCGGACTCCAATCTTGAGAACCAGTCTAGAGCAATGCCTTCGAGGTGTTCGACGAACAACTGGCATTGAATCGCGTCCTTCTGTTCGGCCGAGGTAAACTTCAGTCGGTTAATTACGATACCGAACGAGGTAAGGAAATGCCTCGGATCGGAGTTCCCCTCGTACCATCGTAGCTTAAACTTTTCTAAGTTTGGGACGGGGACGTTGGTGATTCGGGAAGTGAACGGTGTTTTCTATGCTTCCCGGATTACACGGTCGATTTCGGGTGCCGAGCTGGTGGCTTGGTGAAACTTTGAACTGATCTCTTGCAGTTGAGCCTGCATCCGCTCAATCTCCAGGTCGCGTGCTGTTGGTTGAGCTCGCACGTGCTGAGATGGGCTCTCTGTCTGCTGGTACTGCTGAACTACTGACCGTGCCGCTGTGCATTGCGGGTCTCGCTCCTCTTGGAAGTCACTAATGAGGTTCCGTTTTCTGATCGGACTCTCTTGCTGTAGGCTGGAGATCTGTGCGGTGAGGGTTGCGAACTTCGCGTCGTTGCTTCTGACCAACTCTTGCATCTGTGCGGCGAAGGCGTTCATAAGCGCAGTTGGATCGAAGGCAGCTTGAGCTCGGATTGGTGAGGTCTGGTGCGCCCCGTCGCTTGAGCTCGGCTCCGTCCTGATTTGTTGCGCTTCCGATTGGGGTTGTACGGGGATGCGCTCGCATTCCTCCACATAGGCCCTCCGACCTGGCCGGCAGGTCCTCCGTCCTGGGTGATTCCATCTGCACAGGTCATCTGACTTCCGACCTGGACTGAGGTCGGTTGTCTATCATCACTTTTCATATCGTCCTGGCCGATTACCGAACCGGCCCCACGGTGGGCGCCAATTGTTGATTGCTATATTCAACTATTCGAGGTCGGTCCGGTAATTTGAGTTCGAAAGATTTTAAGTTGATCAGATTTTTTAAGTTCTTAGTTACAGTTCGTTCAGTTCGGAGGATTCTCAGCGAACTCAATACAATGTTCAGGTCTCTATTCTCCGGGTCCGAAAAATATTCCTTCTACAGTAACAATTCTACTATTTATAGTACACAAGCGAGGAGACGTTCTAGGGCTTCTCGTTCAGCTCTCACCGCCTCTCGTCGCTGGGCCTCTCTCTAATGAGCCGCGCTGTCAGGTCAGGCCCACTTCAGCTAAGACCATCGTAAACCGGGGTCAATTGGGCCGGTCTCGGTCTCTAACCGGTCCAGACCGGGAAGCGGAGCGTACCACCAACAATCTTGGTAGAAGCCTAGATTTAAACCATCTGGGTCTGGAGCCTTCTCTCTTGCCATATGAAAAGCTGCATGAAATAGCTTCCTCTGTGAAAGGTTTAGTAAGAGACTCATTTATCTCTGGAGTAACTCTATGTCAAATACATTGAATCACCGGATCCATATGCCTGCCACCCTCAGATTGAAACAGAGAAGTAAAGTAATCGATTATCATTCTAGCAATATTTTTCTCATCATGCCAAATTTGTCAATTTTCATCTGAGATAGTAGTTATACGATTTAAGCTTCATCTCTATGTTTTTAGATGGAAGTACCTTGTATTTTTATCTCGAGCTTGCAACCACTGAATCCGACTTTTAGTTCTCCAGAATTCTTCTTCCATCCTGTATTCAAACATGAGTTGACTTTTCAATGAATTTATATAATTGTAATCTATAGGATCAGACGCATACTCTTCATTGATGAGGCCCTTGAGCTCTTGTATTTTCTTAGAGGAGTTGTTTATATGATGTGTTTTCCAGCGAAAGATACATGTTCGACATTTTCTGAGGGCTTCATGGAATTTTTCACCTGGTAAATGCTGACATTATGATGCCCATGTTCTTTGTAACTCTTCTTTTAATTCACCATTGAATCTCCATCTATTATCATATCTTAACATGGGGCATCCTTTCCATTTCCTGTCACCAAGATTTAGCTATAGTGGTCGATGACCAGATCCTATCCATTCTAATTATCGAACATATGCCTTTGGAAATATATCCATTCTAACCATTCTGCTGAGGCTACTACTCTGTCAATTCTGCTCAGAATGGAATAGGTATGTCTGTTTCCTTGCCATGTGAATTTTCCTCTAATTGTTTTCAGATCATGAAGCCTTGAGGAGTTTAACATCTTTTGGAAAGTTTTAAATGAAGCTTCAGATCTTATAGGCCCTCCCTGCTTCTCTTCGTTGCTTGTTTCTATATAACCCTGCTTCAGCCCAATCAATCATTTTTTTTCCACATATTATTCCAATGTCGATGATCAGGATCACCATAAACATATGTAAGCCGAAAGGTTAACTTCCCTGGTGCCGATATATACATATCTGTGTAATTGAGTATAGGAGAATCCACAAAATTGATTTGTACACTATCATTCCAAAAGATAGCCATTTCACCACTTAAACCTTCTGAAGGTATTATAAAATTGTGGTGGAAACCAAAATCCTTAATTCAATGAGCTTACGTATTGTACACCGTTCTTTGTTTTGGTGAAGAACAAGATATCCGGTTTAGAAGATTTCCGGATATCCTTTAGATATGGAATTGTCAAGGGGTTCCTCTTTAGCCCTTGACAATTCCAATGCACTATATTCATTCCGGCATTAGTGGTATCATCAGTTGGTTGATTATGATCAGCTTGGATTGGTTCTTGGTGCTGATCATTCTGCTCCTGATTAACTTCTTGATCCTGATTCCTTTGAATTTTTCTTAGAAGATACGAACCTGGTTGTATGTACTGAAATTGTTCAGTACAAGTTATAGCATCATGCGTTAATCCTCCATAGGTTAAGTAGAAATTTCTGAGCTTTTCATATTGGAATCTGATGAGAATCGGCTCTTCATAATCTTCACAAAATGCACAAAGTGCACGAAGATTAATTTACCATAACCATCCATTTGAACTCAAATCCATACCTCTCCTTCTTGATTCCTATTAGGTTGCAGTCTAAAGACTTCCTCGATATGACCCAGAATCCCTCCAATTTCCTTTATAGCTCTGTCTTCTCTGGAATCATCAGGGATGTTTAAAATCGTAACCCAGAATTCAATGGTTTAAAGGTAATCCGGGTGCTGCCTTCGAGTACACTGATCAACAACGACCATCCAATCCTTTTGATGCCATGGTCCGTTATCTAGAACTGTAAGAAGTTCATGTTCTTGCCTGAAGAAGAATTGGACAGTTTCATCTTCATTGATATGGCTGGTAATTCTGCCTTCCAATCTCCAAGCTGAAGGCATCATCAACCGAATTCCAGCTGGGGTTTGGATTCGCGGATTAAGACATTTCACCGCTAAGCTCAGGCGATGATTGTTTTCTCTCTTCTTTGTTTCTTCAACAGATAACTCCATCAGAGTTTCTACCAGAACCCAGATTCTAATTTTGTAGGTCTAACCAAAGCTCCTTATCCATGATAGCTTTTACTCAGATTAATCCGGCTATCAGAATCTTTGGAACACAAATTAGATCAAAGATCATTGATCGAATTGAAGCGATGAAGATAACTATCCAGATGTTGCTGGAAAAATTGCCAAGAAAGAGAAGATATTTGATGCAAATATGTCGTAAATTCTTCTTACTTAAGCACTTTCCTCACATATTTTTTTTTTTACTTTATACATTATTATCATCATCTCTCCATGTATTTTAAATTCATTTACTCTTGCACCCATTTAAATTTTCTCATTATTTATTTATTTTTTCTAAACATGTGAACTGTCCCTTCTTTTTTTAAAAAATTCATTTTAAAAAGTAGTAAAACAGCTAAACCATAAGGTTTTCCTTTGCTAAAAAACAATGTTAAATTTATTTAAGCCAACATGTATCATAAAACTGACAAAGACATTAGTTCAAATCAGCCTCTTAAAACCATTGTAGTATTAGATGAGTGAATTTAAATGGGAAAACTCAACCTAATTAGAATGTAAGAAACTCTTAAATCCACGATAGTAGGTAGGTTTTTTACTGTGGAACTAGTAGCTAATGATAAAGACTTAATCAAGCAAAACAAAACTAAGCAACAAAACAATTTTTCAATAAGATCACAAAACAAGTTATTAACTAAGCAAGATTTGGTAAGGATAAAAAGACAATCTCTGGATGAAGTTATGGATTTTGGGGACTTCTGTGATAAATCTCAGATGTCAATATACATAATCAAGCAATTTCCTTTAGTCTAGAACACTTAAACAAAACTAATCCATTTTCATGGTACTAATCACTTTGCTAAATACCCTTAATCAAGATCAAATTCTCATTTGTGAAAAAAATAATTACAAAATGTAATTCACACAGGTACCCGGAAAAGATAGCCAACCAGCTAGACAGCTCTGATAGCTTGGTCTTGATATCAAAGGATCTAGGCCAGGTATGTGTATCTTTTAGGTGAGAACGCAACTCAAATTCCCTCTATTCCGACAATTGGAATATGTGAATCATCCATACTTCTGGAAACCCACAAGATCAGCATTTAACACATAATCCTTACATGTGTCAGATGAAAGCAACCACTCGTGAAACATAGAGAAAGACAACAGTATAGAAAAGGCTATACCGCGTCTGAACCGCTGAACTCGAGCCATACACTGAGAGCTAAAAGGACGCACCAAGAGTTGATCTAGTAACTTACAACAAATGACAAGGAAAGTAGGTGACAGCGTCAAATGCATGATGTAATCATCAAAGATTCTCTCCACGATCCGTACACTAACAGCTAAAAGGACCCACCAAGAGCTGATCTAGTAACTTACAGACAAGGAAAGTAGGTGAGAGCGTCAAATGCATGATGTTGATGAGGTCATCGAACCATCACCAAACCAAACGATTGTTCCCGAGCTCAAAGAAGCACCAATGACCCGTTCCAAAGCAAGGAGGCTTAGAGAAAGGTTCAATTTGTCTGTAGAATCATCACTAAATACCATGGAACTTGGACATGCATTCAAAACCGTTTCTCAAGAGCATTACATGCGAGACAGCCTCAAAGGACCCGATTTGGACATAATGGAGGGTTTCGCGCGTTTGAGCCTCAAAGAGAGCCAGCTTCAACTAGAACCAGGTATACATGTTTACTTGGCAGGAAATGGAGCACAGAACACCAAGAATCCCGAATAGACCGCATTGGACCCTCAAGATACAACCGTTTCAAGACACGGAGCCGATAGCGAGCAAACGAGACAAGAAGAGGGACATGAAGTAGGACGCGAGAAGATACTTGAAGAACTCACAAGAAACGACGTTAGCAGGACTCTAGACGAAGAAAACATCAAGACTAACGAAGAAAACATCAAGACTAACGAAGAAAACATCAAGACTAACGTGCTACTTGGACCAGAACGCGACCTAATCAACGACGTAACAAGCAAGCCCACAACCGGCCTTAATCAGGTATTTTCCATTTATACGATCTGTGCAGGTAACATGGGAGTATCCTAGTGGTGTCTAACACACTAGAGAGCATCAGAGGTGCACGGAACAAGTCCAGAAAAGGTTGCACGCAATTAGTTTCTTTTCCTTTTTATTTTAAGTGAACTTTCCATTTTTGTGTCCAAATGAGACGCTTTGCCATTTTTACTTTGTTTCTTTTACAAGTCATGTTGTTTTGAGTCTTTTAATGTCATTTCTTTTGTTAAGTGTCAAACCCTAGAAGGTTCAAAGCTGACGGACTATTTATAAAGTCCCACACGCAGCTGTTGTACTCACCTTTTTACCTTATCAATAAAATAATGCTGTTTTCCTCTTAGCTTGTGCTTGAGAGACTTTGTTTGTGTTCTTGCGTGAGAGATTCACCAAGAGACAAGCCGCAGTATCAGAGATTCTCACATCATCTCTGTGGTGCCTTCGATCTACGTCACGACCACTTACCGATCCCTCAAGAGAGCGCGTCAAAGCCAGCTTGACAGATCCCATCTCGATTCAAGCCTTGTGGAAACAAGTCTTGTCTTACCATCTCCACCAACAGATCCACATGAGAGAGCGTGAAAGCCAGCGTGTTGATCCCACCAAGCCATTGATTCCACAATCTTATAAGCCTCCTGAGTCTTATATCTTTTTGGTATCAGAGCCAAAGGGTCCTGCCTTTGGTTTTCTATCCCTTGCATTCTTTAGTTTTATTCATACTCGTTTAGTTTCTTTTGATTCATAAAACCGAAAACCCTAAAAAAAAAAGAATCCGTTGCATTGATAGTTTTAAGACCGTTGCTTCCAGTTCATTGCAAACTAAAAATTTGAAAACCCTACAAAAAAATTATTTAGTTTCATTTAAGTGTCGAGTTATATAATTTACCGTTTTGTTACCCTCATTATTCGGTGGTGCTTTTAACTAGTTTGTTGTTTTTGTGAGTACAAAGACTTTTGAGCGAGCATAGTTAACACAATGGCCGAGGGAGAACCTGTTCCGAACGATGATCTTGTTCAAATGATGACCGCAATGAGAGAGGAGTTGAGGAACATGACTCAACAAATGGGAAACATTCGTCAAGAACTTGGAGCAAGAATAGACCGAGTTGAAGCACAACCTAGGAGAGCCCCAGTTCGAGGAGCACAAGTACCAGCCGGTGATGCGAGTGATGATGAAGAGATGCCCAATTTGGAGGATGACCTTCCACCCGATCCTCTTCAGCAGCGACAACCGAGGAGACCGGATCCTTTAAGGAGAAATCCAGCTAAGGTAGTAGATACCCGAGAGCAAACTTATGACCTCAAGCTAACACCTCCAACTTTTGCAGGAAAATCAGATCCTGAAGCATATTTAGATTGGGAGAGACGCCTAGAGCACATCTTTGAGTGCTATGGCTACGCTGAGCGCAAGAAGGTGGCTGTTGCGGCTGCACAGCTCACTGACAATGTATTAGCATGGTGGGACAGAAACGTGCCTGAGAGAAAGAGGCAACGTTTTGGACCAGTCGTCACTTGGAGTGACATGAAATTCCTCCTACGACTTATGTATGTACCTGAACACTATCATAGAGACTTACAAAAGTATTTTCGCAAATTGTCTCAGGGAAACAGAAGCGTAGATGAATATTTTGAGGAATTTGAGAAGCTAATGAACTCACTGAATTTAGAAGAATCAGAGGAGGCCTTAATGGCCTAGTTCATTGACGGCTTGCAAGAACGAATTGCAAGAAAGGTGGAGAGAGCCCAATACAGTGGACTGCACGAGTTATTGCACCTAGCTGTGCAAGTGGAGCAGCAAATCAAGCGCAAGACATCTCTCACCAACCGCAACCGAACGAATCAGACCTGGAACGCCAGCAGCTCTAAACCAATAGACAAGGGTAAAGCCGTGGATATCGAGTCAAGGTTTAAGGGCAAAAGTACTGAGGCACCTAAATCCAACCGAGCTGAGAGAGGTAAGTCATCTGGTAACCCCTCGAGAACTCGTGATATAACTTGTTTTAGATGTCAAGGCAGGGGTCACATGTCAAGGGAGTGTCCTAATCAGCGAGTCTTGATCATCACACCAAGTGGGGACTACGAGTCTCAAGATGAGCAAGAAGACGATTCTAATGACATGGATGAGGAGGTCGAGTATCCTGATACTGGTGAACTATTAGTAACTCGCCGAGTGCTAAGCGTTCTAGTTCACCCTGAGGAAACAGCCCAAAGAGAAAACATATTTCATACTAGATGCACCATCAAAAACAAGGTATGTAACCTTATCATAGATGGTGATTCATGTACTAACATGGCTAGCAAGTATATGGTGGACAGATTAGGTCTTGAGAAGACAAAGCACCCTCGCCCTTACAAGTTAAGGTGGTTAAACGATCAGACTGAGCTCAAGATCTCTGAGCAAGTATCAATACCTTTTAGCATCAGCAAATACCAAGATCAAGTCACTTGTGACGTGGTGCCAATGCAAGCAGGACATCTACTACTCGGTAGACCGTGGCAATTTGACCGAGCCACAACCCACAACGGCCGCACCAACCATTATTCTTTCATGCACAAAGAGCGTAAGTACAATCTTGCACCTCTCAGCCTCACCGAGGTGTATGAAATGCAAGTGCACATGAACAAAGAGGCCGAGCTAAGCAAAAACAGTCTTTATCTATCATCTAGTGATATTTGTAAAACCATGAGTGCCAATGGCACTGTGCTACTGATGATGTTCCAAGAGTGTTTAAACGCAGGCATAGGTGACTCTGAGATACCCCCCGAAGTGCAAGCCATCTTGAACAGGTTTAAGGATGTGTTTCCTGAAGAGATACCCCCAGGGTTGCCACCACTTTGTGGAATAGAGCACCAAATTGACTTAGTTCCCGGTTCAGCATTGCCCAATAAGCCAACTTATAGAATGAACCCCGAGGAGACTAAGGAATTAGAGAGACAAGTACGAGATCTAATGGACAAAGGCTATATCCGTGAGAGCCTCAGTCCTTGTGCTGTGCCAGTTCTCTTAGTACCAAAGAAAGATGGTACATGGCAAATGTGTGTGGACAGCCATGCCATCAACAACATCACCATCAAGTATAGGCATCCCATTCCACGCCTAGATAACATGTTGGATGAGCTGAGCGGATCCACAATCTTCTCAAAGGTGGACTTAAAGAGCGGATACCACCAGGTTCGAATGCGTGAAGGAGACGAGTGGAAAACCGCACTTAAGACCATGCAAGGTTTGTATGAGTGGTTAGTTATGCCTTTTGGCTTGACTAATGCACCAAGCACCTTCATGCGTCTTATGAACCAGGTTCTTCGAGCTTATATAAGTAAATTTGTAGTTGTTTATTTCGACAATATACTTATATATAGTAAGAACCTTAATGATCATCTTCAACACCTCGAACTAGTGCTTAAAACACTTCGCAAGGAAGGCCTATATGCTAACCTTAAGAAGTGCACATTTTGTACTAATAAGCTTGTTTTCTTAGGTTTTGTAGTAAGTGAACAGGGATTACAAGTAGACGAGGAGAAGATCAAGGCAATATGCGAGTGGCCTACACCAACTACAATCGGTCATGTTAGAAGTTTTCATGGTCTAGCCAGCTTCTACATGCGTTTTGTACGAGATTTCAGCATGGTGGCAGCCCCACTCTCCGCGGTGATCAAGAAAAACGTACCATTCTCATGGGGACCGCCTCAAGAGGCAGCTTTTGAAGCCATGAAGAACCGTTTAACACAAGCACCTGTGCTAGCCCTACCTGACTTTGATGAAATGTTTGAGGTGGAGTGTGATGCATCAGGAGTGGGAATAGGAGCTGTGCTACATCAGAGGAAGAGACCAGTGGCATTCTTTAGTGAAAAACTAAGTGGAGCCACATTGAACTATCCCACCTACGACAAGGAGCTATATGCCTTAGTCCGAGCATTGGAAACTTGGCAACACTACCTGTTGTCCAAGGAATTCATTATTCACACTGATCATGAAACCTTGAAGCACTTATGAGGCCAGACCGCGCTTAAGAGGCGCCATGCGAAATGATTAGAGTTCATCAAGACTTTTCCCTATGTGATTAAGTACAAGAAGGGACAAGAGATTGTAGTGGCCGATGCACTCTCAAGAAGGCATGCATTGATCTCTACTATGGAGGCAAAGGTACTCGGGTTTGAGCACATCAAGGAGCTATACAAAGATGACCCAGAATTCAGAGAAGCTTATCAAGGGCATGGCAAAGGAGCTTTTAGCTCATATCACTTACACGACGGGTTCCTTTTTTCGAGATAAGAGGCAGTGTGTTGCCCAAGGGTCTTTGAGAGAGCTATTTCTGAAGGAGGCTCACGGTGGAGGACTCATGGGTCACTTTGGAGTGGACAAAACACTAGCCGTAATTGCTGACCATTTCTTTTGGCCGCACCTCAAGAAAGATGTGGAGAGATGCTGCTCACGTTGTGTTACTTGTCATAAAGCCAAGTCCAGGTTACATCCTCATGGTCTATATTTACCTTTACCTATCCCTAACGCACCATGGGTGGATATTTTTATGGATTTTGTACTAGGTTTACCCAAGATCAGGAAGAAAGACTCAATCTTTGTTGTAGTTGATCGCTTTTCAAAAATGGTGCACTTCATACCCTGTGACAAAACTAATGATGCCACACAAGCCGCAAATTTGTTCTTTAAAGAGGTGGTGAGATTACATGGAGTTCCAAGAACGATTGTCTCTGACCGCGACTCTAAGTTCTTAAGCCACTTTTGGAGGACCATTTGGAGAAAGCTTGGCACCAAGCTTCTATTCTCTACAACTTGTCATCCTCAAACGGATGGACAGACTGAAGTGGTAAACCGTACATTATCTACTTTAATTAGGGTCACTCTTGGTCAAAATTTGAAAACATGGTTAGATTGTTTGCCTTTCATTGAATTTGCTTATAATCATGCTACACACTCGGCTACTTAGATGTCTCCTTTTGAAGTTGTGTATGGATTTAATCCACTGACGTCTTTAGATCTCTCATCTATACCCCAAGCTGAACAAGTTCATCTAGACGGCCTCAAGAAAGAAGAGTTTGTTAAAACGATACATGAAAAGGCCCGAGATAGCATAGTGAAGAAAACGGAGGAATACAAAAGGAGAGCTGACAAAGGGCGCAAGAAACTTGTATACGAACCAGGAGAATGGGTGTGGCTACACATGAGACCAGAAAGATTTCAATAAAAAAGGAGTTCCAAGCTTGCACCTCGCGGAGATGGACCTTTCAAAGTGCTAGAGAAGATCACTGACAATGCCTATCGATTGGAACTCCCAGGTGAGTTAATCATTTCACATAGTTTTAATGTTACTGATTTGTCTCCTTATGATGCAGGTGAACCAGTTTTGAGGACAAAACCTCTCGAAGAGGGAGGGAATGATGAGGTCATCGAACCATCACCAAACCAAACGATCGTTCTGGAGCTTAAAGAAGCACCAATGACCCGTTCCAAAGCAAGAAGGCTTAGAGAAGGGTTCAATTTGTCTGTAGAATCATTATTAAGTACCATGGAACTTGGAGATGCATTCAAAACCGTTTCTCAAGAGCATTACACGCGAGACAGCCCCAAAGGACCCGATTTTGAGCCTCAAAGGACATAATGGAGGGTTTCGCACGTTTGAGCCTCAAAGAGAGCCAGCCTCAACTAGAACCAGGTATACATGTTTACTTGGCAGGAAATGGAGCACGGAACACCAAGAATCTCAAAGAGACCGCATTGGACCCTCAAGATACAACCGTTTCAAGACACGGAGCCGATAACGAGCAAACGAGACAAGAAGAGGGACATGAAGTAGGACGCGAGAAGATACTTGAAGAACTCACAGGACACGACGTTAGCAGGACTCTAGACGAATAAAACATCAAGATTAACGAAGAAAACATCAAGACTAACGAGCTACTTGGACCAGAACACGACCTAATCAATAACGTAACAAGCAAGCCCACAACCGGCCTTAATCAGGTATTTTCCATTTGTACGATCTGTGCAGGTAACACGGGAGTATCCTAGTGGTGTCTAACACACTAGAGAGCATCAGAGGTGCATGGAACAAGTCCAGAAAAGGTTGCACACAATTAGTTTCTTTTCCTTTTTATTTTAAGTAAACTTTCCATTTTTGTGTCCAAATGAGACGCTTTGCCATTTTTACTTTATTTCTTTTACAAGTCCTGTTGTTTTGAGTATTTTAATGTCGTTTCTTTTGTTAAGTGTCGAACCCTAGAAGGTTCAAAGCTGACAGACTATTTATAAAGTCCCACACGCAGCTGTTGTACTCACCTTTTTACCTTATCAATAAAATAACGCCGTTTTCCTCTTAGCTTGTGCTTGAGAGACTTTGTTTGTGTTCTTGCGTGAGAGATTCACTAAGAGACAAGCCGCAGTATCAGAGATTATCACATCATCTCTGTGGTGCCTTCGATCCACGTCACGACCACTTACCGATCCCTCAAGAGAGCGCGTCAAAGCCAGCTTGACAGATCCCATCTCGATTCAAGCCTTGTGGAAACAAGTCTTGTCTTACCATCTCCACCCACAGATCCACATGAGAGAGCGTGAAAGCCAGCGTGTTGATCCCACCAAGCCATTGATTCCGCAATCTTATAAGCCTCACCCGAGTCCTATATCAGATGTAATCATCAAAGATTCTCTCCACGATCCAGTGGAACCCATAACCAACCCATAACCCGATTACGCGGGATCCAACTCGGGATCTGATCCGATATACTAACTCAGATCATGTAAAATCTTATAAATACTCAACCATTTCCAACGAGAAAAGGGTTCAATCTTTTTGCTTCATTTACTTTATGATCTCTCTAGATTCTCGTAACTCAAAGGATTCACTTTATCTAACTCTCTACTGTTTTCCGATTATCATTTCTGTCACCACATTCACTTTTTTTTCCACAACGGTTCCTTAACTATGAAGCACCTTCACCAACAAACTCTTTACTTATTCTCTCTTTCCACCTCAAAGAACCCACCAACTAAAGGCCTGTAGACTTGTTTCTTTCCTAAGAGCTCATGACCCTAAACTCTTCCTTCTGGTTTTTCAATCTCTTTTTCCTCTCTCCGATTTACTATTCTGCAGTATTTTTACTCAGTTTTCTGACTTGGGTTTAAAAGATTTTCTCCCAAAAGAACAAAAATATTCTAATTTACTATTTAGGCCAAAACTAAATTTTAAATTATATAGAATATATATTTTATAATATGTCAATTATAGAGTAAATAGTAGAACGCATCATATAATTTTGTAAAACAAGAATAATTGTTTTTTACTTTTCCAAAAACAATATACAAATAGATATTCTTTTTCTTTTTTGTATTTTTTGTGATTTAAAAATAAGTGTAATTTACTACACTTAGTTAGATAGTTTTGCCGAAAAAAATAATTAAAAATTATGATAAAACAATATGTGAATGATATTGTTTTCTTTTAAATATTATATATGATATTATATAGGATGATATGTGTGTTTGTATATATATATATATATATATATGAGTGGTGTGAAGTGTATATAAAGGTGAGTAAGTGGAGAAGAGCGAGAGAGTTATTAGAGAGAAAGGGAAGATTTCTTATTTTTTTGTCATGTGTAAGTTACTTCAGTTACAAAGAGAGATATGCACTATTTATAAAAGATGTAAATACATAAATTATTGCACTAAGTCGGTAAAAGTTTGGATAATCATAACATATTATAATACTTGATAACACCGTATTTTGACCACTTTTATGGATCGATTTGAAATATTTTTTCTATGTTTTTAATTGCTTTTTAGTACTTTTATTACATTTTTATAATATTTATAGTTCCAAGACTTTTTTCAGAAAACTTAGGGAAAAGCTTAACAAAATGGATAGAAGATCAGATTTCAGCTCAGAGTCAAACCATCAGAAGTTCACCCCCAATTGAAGGCATTCTCACCGTCTGATCCAGCTCAAATTTGGAGATCTCAAAGATGGAAGTATCAGCTTTCCAGCACACTTTACAGCTTGGCAATCCAACGGTTCAATCAAAAGATACGCGAAGAGCAAGATGTCGCATAAACCAGCCGGCAAGCGTTTCCACACGCGGCCAACAGGCCATTCCCCGCGGTCAGAACCATCCCAACCGCGGCCAGCCACCCATTCACCGCGGTCACATACATCCCGACCGCGGCCAGCTAACTCCGAGTTCAAAGGCCCATTTCTGAAGCCCGTATCATTTTCCCAGCCTCAATTCCGGAACCCTAGGCACCAGAGAGTATTGGAGACTATAAATACATATCATTTAGGTCGTTTTTAAGAAGAGAAGAAGAGAGACGAAATACTTTACAGAAATTTTACTTTAAGCTTTGTTTTTAGGTTTTAGGGAGAGAGAGAGATCTATCTCTTGAACCCTTGTTCTTTCTTTTTCAATTTCGTTTCTGTACTACTTTTTGATACTATGTTTTTGATTTTGTTTATCATGTCTGAAAAGTTTTATTGTTGGGTCTAAGGGATTTTCGATGGGGATATATGTGTTCGATGAGGATTCCATGAGCTATTGAGCCGAATCTTAGAAGTTTTTCTTCTGAATTCGTTTTTACTGCATGAGAGTAGCGTCATGAATTACAGTCTGATCCAGATGCTTGTTGACACGAAAGTGTTCATCCGGTGTCAGATCTAGTTTGGGAGAGCAAAACAAACATAGGAGCGAAAACCTACCTATGGGCGATTTGTGAATGCTGACGAGTCTTAAACATAATACATCTTTTCTCTTCAAGGGCCATAGTGGAAACCCACTGGTCAGGGTTGAGAGAGATAGTTGTCTATGATCACGACAGTGGCGTATTCATACGTTCGTGACTCTAGTTCGAAAAGTTTTAGCTAAGATCTTATCAAATTTACTCTTTAGCAATGTTTTTAGGTTTTAGGGAGAGAGAGAGATCTATCTCTTGAACCCTTGTTCTTTCTTTTTCAATTTCGTTTCTGTACTACTTTTTGATAC